GTGGCCCGGGAATGGCGTTCTGGGAACTCGAAGAGCACGAAGTGTGTGACTGTTGCATCCGGCCCCCCAGAATGTGGCCCGGGAATGGCGTTCTGGGATGTCGAAGAGCACTTTGTGTGTGACTGTTGCATCCGGCCCCCCAGAATGTGGCCTGGGAATGGAGTTCTGGGAAGGCGAAGAGCACGAAGTGTGTGACTGTTGGTGAAAAACGAGCCCGGCTCATGCCGCCCGGAAACGCCCCAACACCTGCCCGGACCCCCCTGTGGAGTGATCTGCTGCTCTTTTTTGATCCCACTAGAAACCTATCAGTCTTCGCTGTTAGGTAAAAAACACCTGGACCGGACAGTTGGCGTTTACCAAACGGCCTTGGGCGGTTTCTACGCAGCCTTGCCTTGTTCGATTCCTTCTCTGGGTGCGTTTCCTCAACGGCTTCGCGTGTCGGGATGGTTCTTGTGGGGGTGGATGTTTGGATCTCTATGGCACCGCCTGCACCCCGGGCCCCGCCCACTCCGGCCGCCTGAGGCCCCGCCCGCCTGTGCCCTGTCTCCCTAATTGAAGCTGTGCGTGGCCCGCCTAGCTTTTAGCGGAAGAGGTTCGCTCTCGCCCCGCCAAAACAAATGTTTGGATCTCTATCTGGGGCGCAGCAGTGCTGCAGCCGACCCCCCCTGCTCGACTCCAGCGGCCCTCTTTCGCCAGGGGGAGGGCGCGCGGCGGAGGCGCCTCTCGCAGCGCGCGCGCGCGCGCGCTGCCCCGCCCTTGGCATCGCCCGGACGTGTGCATTTTTCCTTCGGCGAGGACCATCGAGGAGCATCCTTGATCATTTGGCAAATTATCCCGGCAAAGCAACCTAACAGCGATATGTAGAAGCATATCTGAAAGCATTCCCCTTAAGATTCAGATGAAAATCCAGTTGTAGAATTCTGCTGTTCTCGCAGTCGTAGTCGCATTCGCGATGACAGTCGCAGCGGCAACGGCAGTCGCAGTCACAGCCTCAGCCTCAGCCTGCCTCAGCCTCAGCCTCAGCCTGCCTCAGCCTCAGCCTGCCTCAGCCTCAGCCTCAGCCTGCTTCAGCCTCAGCCTCAGTCTGCCTTCAGCCTCGGCCTCAGCCTCAGCCTGCCTCAGCCTCAGCCTGCATCAGCCTCAGCCTCAGCCTCAGCCTGCCTCAGCATCAGCCTGCCTCAGCCTCAGCCTCAGCCTGCCTCAGCCTCAGCCTCAGTCTGCTTCAGCCTCAGCCTCAGTCTGCCTTCAGCCTCGGCCTCAGCCTCAGCCTGCCTCAGCCTCAGCCTGCCTCGGCCGCAGCATCAGCCTGCCTCAGCATTCAAAATGTGGCCCAGGAATGGAGTTCTGGGAACTAGAAGAACACGAAGTGGCCTACAGTTGGCTCCGGGCATTCAAAATCATGCCCAGGAATGGAGTTCCCAGGAATTGAGTTCTGGGAACGAAGAGCACGAAGTGGCCTACAGTTGGCTCCGGGCATCCAAAATGTGGCCCGGGAATGGAGTTCTGGGAAATCGAAGAGCACGAAGTGGCCTACAGTTGGCTCCGGGCATCCAAAATGTGGCCCGGGAATGGAGTTCTGGGAACTCGAAGAACACGAAGTGGCTTACAGTTGGCTCCGGGCACTCAAAATGTAGCCCGGGAATGGAGTTCTGGGAGGTCGAAGAGCACGAAGTGTGTGACTGTTGACGAAAAACGAGCCCGGCAAGTGGCCCGGGAATCGAGTTCTGGGAGGTCGAAGAGCACGAAGTGTGTGACTGTTGGCGAAAAGCGAGCCCGGCTCTGTTCCCGGTTCTTCAGAATGTGGCCGGGGAATGGAGTTCTGGGAGGTCGAAGAGCACGAAGTGTGTGATTGTTAGCGAAAAACGATTCCCGGTTCTCCTCCGCGGCACCCGCCCAGACCCCCCTGTGGAGTCCAGATGCTATCTTTTGAGACCACTAGAAACCTATCAGCAAAAGCTGTTAGGTAAAAAACCACGCACGAAACCGCAAACAGAAAGCGCAGGGAATGGACCTCCGAGCGATGCCCGGCGCCCGCTCCGCCCGCCGGCGGTGCGGCCTCTTGCGGGGCGCGCGCGCGCCGCACCACGGCGGGCGGGGCGCGCCGCATCCCTCGGCGGCTCGGCTCGAAGGAGGGGCCCTGGGGGGCGGGGCCCCCGAGGACTCCTCCTCCTCCTCCTCCTCCTCCTCCTCCTCGTCCTCCTCCTCCTCCTCCTCCTCCTCGTCCTGGGGGGCGGCGCCCCCGAGGACGAGGAGGTGCCTCGAGCAGCGTACACATGGTTCACTCCTAAGTCTTCGGGAAAGTTCTTTGGTCTTTTGGGGGGCCAGGCCCGACGTAAGTTTAGAGTTCGGTTCCCTACGAGGGACCTCTCAGAAGCGCCCCGCCTGTCCTGCGGCCCTGCGGGCGGGGGGCGCCCTCCTCCGCCTCCGCGCCGGGCGCACGACGCGCACGACGCGCGCTGCGCCGGCCGTCCCGTCCGACCCCCCCCCTCAAGAGTTCGGCACGAACGAAATGGGTACGCTGCTCGAGGCACGACGAGGAAGTGCCTCGAGCAGCGTACACATGGTTCATTTCTAAGTATTCAAAAAAAGTTATCTGTTTTTTTGCGGGGGCAAGATCCTCTCATCTCTAATTGTTCTATCCTGGGCCTCTTCCTGGCCCCTAGGGGGCCAGGAACAGTTAGGAACGAGCACAACTCTATCTGCACGCACGAAATGGGTACAGAGAGAATGGGTACAATGCCCACAGGCAGCTCTTGTTTATTTTGAGCAGGACTCGCTGTCGGTGTCGCCGCGGCCTGTGTCCATTCGAGACAGAAGGCCGCCTCCTGCCCAACAGCGGCCGCTGTTGGTTTGAGACAACATTTGTTGTTGGGCATTGTATTCATATTTTCCGTACCCATTTCGGGCGTCCAAAAAGTGTTTTTTGTGGTCACTCTTAGGTCGGGCACGGCCCTCTACAGGAGGAGTATTTAAACATAGTATAAAGAGATTGTCCGGGGACGATGTTTGGACTATGTTTGACCATGTTTGTGTATTTTTGCCACTTTTCAGTGCTTCGTCCAAAATCCGCCTGCAGGGGGGCATGCCCTACCAAAGGTTACCCTCTGGGGCCATAACGCGCGTTATGCCGTCGACCTTATGATGCATCAACCTTTTTTGACCTTGGTCACCAGAACGAGTTTCGAGGACCAAGAAAAGTATCGAGACTGGAGGGTTTTCATGTGTCGGGCCCTGGGGGGTGATACTCGTTCGAAATTGTTTTTCTGTATTATTCTGAGTGCTCCAAATGATTTCTGGGATGCGGTCCTTAAGTACGATGGAAACAACATCCCCTACCCTCCCCCCCCCTCCCCTCCCCCATCACGTAACTCGGCGGCGAGCGAGGGAGGGAGGTGAGGAGGAGAAGGCCTTCTCCGAAGGCGGCGAGGGGCCTCTCAGAAGCCCTCGCGCCTTCCGAGAAGCTGTTGCTTGCCTTCGGGGAAGGCCCAGACAACTTTTTAGAAGGCTGGGGGACTTCCGAACCTTCTGAGAGGCCCTCTCCTTCTCACTGCCCCCCCTCGCTCGCCGCCAGGTAGCGCTCCCTCCCTCAGTGCGCCCGGCACTGCTGCCGCAGTGCGTCCGACCCCTCTCCCCTGAGATTCTGCTTGGCATCGCTCGGACGTGTGCATTTTTCCTTCGTCGAGCACCGTCGAGGAGCATCCTTGATCATTTGGCGAAAAAACCACGCGCGAAGCCGACAAAAAACACAGGGAATGGACGTCCGAGCGATGACGAGCCTGACGCTGCAGTTTTTTCACAGCGGGCGTTTTCGCTCCACCTCGAAGCCCGCGGGAACCTCACAGCCGGAGCCGGAGCCGGCTCGTACCACGTTGTGCCCTCTTCCCGCCCGCCCCCCCCCCCTCCACTTGTGGAGGGCGATCCACGGAGAGGAAGCATGTTGCCAAATAATTTCCGGACGTCTAGAACATGTAAAACAAAACATGTTTTAGACACGCAAAACACATGTCTGAAAGCATGTTTGGAGCACTTGTCCTACATATTCCCCCCTACACTTGTGGAGGGCGATCAACGGAGAGGAAGCATGTTGCCAAACAATTTCCAGATGTCTAGAACATGTAAAAATCAGGAGGGAAAGCAACACAGACACAATTAATCGTCGACTCCCAGGAAAATATTTGAAAATATGGGAAGTGGGGGGGAAGACGAAAATCCAGAAAATATGCGAACATATACGGAAAATGTTTATTTGTGTGTATTTATTTGTGTGTCCTGGGGCCCCTTCCAAAAAACATGTTTTAGACATGCAAGACACATGTTTAAAACATGTTTGGAGCACCTCTCCTACAGTTTCAACACCTTCTAAATTCAACGATAGGACTGTTAGGGTCTCCAGTGCCGTGGCATCCACAGCCCTACACCCCCCTCCGAACGCCCGCGCTCCTCGGGCCGCAGAGGAGTCGCGGCGGCCGGTGCTACATAGGCACCTTGTTGTGGTCGGCCTCTGCTGGCCCCGGCCGGGCGGCCCCGGGAGCGGCCGAGCTGGCGATTGGGTCGCGGCCAGCTCGGGGTGGCTGCGATGAGCACACCACGGCGCCCAGAGTCTGGAAGGAGGGAGGAATGATTAAGTCCGGCCTGGCCCTCTACAGGGGGAAAATTCCAAAATACTCCCCAAAAAATAGTCGGGGGGCGATTTCTTGGGCATGTTTTGACCATTGGGGGGCATTTCTGGGGTATGCTTAATCAAAAAATAGTCGGGGGACGATTTGTTGACTATTTTTTGACCATTGGGGGCCCATGTTTGGGGTATCCTTACTTCTTCGTCCAAGATCCCCCCTGTAGGGGGACATGCCCGACTTGAAGGAAGGAGGGAAGGAGGAAGGAAGGGAGGAGGGGATGAGCAAGGAGGGAGGAAGGAGGGAACGAGGGAGGGAAGAGGAAGGAAGGAGGGACGGAGGAGGGATGAGCAAGGAGGCGGCGATGGAGGCGGCCTGCCCGCCCAGGAGGCCGCCGTGTCGGTGCACCGCCCGGAGTGGCCCAGGCTGCTGGCCGTGGCCGAGGACATCCCGCCCGACCACTGGGAGGGCGACGTGGAGAGGCGCGCCGGCGGCAGCCCGGGCCTGGCTCCCCGCGGGCCCCCTCCTCCTCCTCCTCCTCCTTCTCCTCCTCCTCCTCCTCCTCCTCCTCCTCCTCCTCCTCCTCCTCCTCCTCCTCGCGCCAGTGGCGGCCCGGGCCTGGCTCCCGTCTGGCTTCCAGAATCACCGAGCGCGTTCCACTGCTCGCGAGGTGCTTCCTCGCACACGTCAGAATCAAGCACATGCTTGTATCTCGATGTGATGTGTATGGTGAATCCCCCTGCGGCGGATCCGGGCTGATTACGCGTAGTTCCTCTGCGTGGAGCTCGCGTGTCTACCAAAGCGCGCGCTCCGAGGCCGATTCGAGTATGGTGTTCGCCCTCTGCCGCCGGCCCCCCCCGAAGGTGGAGGCAGCTTAGGAATTGATCCTGTCCACCCTTGGGCTTGCGGTGGGCTTTCTTGAGCCCGCTCGGAGCTTCTCGGGGGCATCCTGAGGCTTCTGGAGGCCATCCCAGGGGCGTTTCAGGGCATACTCCTTGCGAGCGCGGATCTATCGAACTGTACGCCCAGGACACCCCGAGATCCTGAGATCGCGCGCGCGTTCTAATGTATGATGGAGTTTTGGCCCCGGCGGCGCGCATCTGTGTAATTGTGCTAAGGGTTGTGGCTTCCGCAGCGTGCATCCGTACATCCGTAGCAATTTGCAGGGATGCGTAGCCTCGTGGACGCAAACGTGTAGCAATTGTCCAAGAACTTTGGCCCCAAGAGTGCACACCTGCCGTGGTTCACGTGTCACAGGACATCTAAAGCTTTTGAGAGCCCCGGTCGGAGTCGCGTTCCTCAACCTTCCAACCTTTGAGCAAGAAGCCGTTGCTTGTTTAAACATTGAAAGTTTAGAACGGGGAACTGCGCTGGAACTGGCACTGGAAGGAGGAACTTATGATTGGTTTGAGGCGGCAGAAACCTCGCCTACGCAGCCTGGTGGCCCCCAAGGGGTCCGGCGGATTCCCAACCCTCTTTGTTGGGTTTTGGCTTGGATGGAGCATTGCTGCTCCTTCCTGCTTCTCCTCCTCGTTCCTCCTTTCCCCGCCGTCCCCCCCCCCTCATCACTTCTCCTCCCGTCCTGGCCTCCCTCATCCTGCCGCCAATGACCTCCTGCCTCCTGCCGCATCCTCCCCTCTCCTCCTGTGGTCTCCTCCCTCCTCCTGGCGTACTCCTCCTGCCTGCCTCCTTCCCCGCCATCTTTAGTGCACTGCGCAGCGGTCGCCAGTTCCGTGGGCTCCTGGGAGGTCCAGCGGAGTGGTGTCCTACGCAGACCCACATGACACGTTGCCCTCACTGGGCGCTGCCATCTGCGCCACCGTCGCCACTTTCGTGGGCCCGTTGGAGGTCCAGCGGAGCTGTGTCCTACGCAGACCTGGAATGTCTCCTCGATTTTCCTGGATGCTGCCAACTGCGCCACTGTCGTCCAGTGCAGTGGTCCCTGTGTGCTGCCAACTGTGCCACTGTCGTCCAGCGCAGTGGTGTGTGCGACCTCGCCCTTCCTGTTTGCAGCCAACTGCGCCACTATCGCCGCTTTCGTGGGCCCATCTTAGAAGTTCATCTTAGTGGTGTCCTACGCGGACCCAAGTGATAACTCGCCCTTCTTGGGTGCGGTAAATTTCGCCACGGTCGCCGCTTTCGTCCTGGGATGTCCAGCGGAGTAGTGCCCCGTTCAGATCCACATGAGACGTCGCCCTCCCTGGGCGCTGCCATCTGCACCACTATCGGCGCGTTTGTTTGTCTGTCCCCTCATTTCTCTTTTGTATCCGGTTTTGCCTGCCCTGTTGTCGCCGCCCTTTTGTATCCACGTGTCCCGCTCATTCAGTGGTGATGCGGTTGTCTTTCGAGCCACTCACGCATTTAGCCGCGCCCTTGGAAATCCTTGTTTGCTCCCCTCTCCCCTCGCTGTCAAGTTTGCCTTCTCTCTTCTCTCCGCCCTGTTGTATCCACTTGCTCTTGTCATTACTCCTCTGACCTGCAGAAGTCCTCAGGACCAGCCTGTGCAGTTTCCTGCGCCCATGTGTGTCCGTTTGTGCCCTCCTCTCCCTTCGCCGCGCCACTCAACCAGGATCACCGCCATCACCACATCGTTATCATCATCATTGCCAGTAATGGAGGATAACGATTAATAAATGGCCGGGGGTCGTGTTCACGCGGCGGCGCCCTGGACGACGATTAGAAAAACCGGCCGCGGGCTAGAACACTTTTTTATCGTTCTCCTCCAGTCAGAAAATTATGCAGAAATAGCAGACAACTATTTGTTTGATTGTTCTTTCCCATTTTTTGAATAATCGTCATCCCGCATTATCATTACCATCAACATCACCACCTCAGCGAGCCATCGCACCCTCGATCCTCTGACTCCTCGAGCGCTCGAGCGCTCGACTTGCGTACCCATCGAGCCCTTGAGCCTTGGAGCCGCTAACCTTTCGATACTCCATGCCTTGGATGCCCCGGTCCCGGGGCTCTTCAAGGCCGCGACCTGTTCAGGGGCAACGACAGGGGGAGGATAGGCATAGGGGGGGGTGCATCGACCCCGAATCGCCCATAGATCGCCGATGGGGGCCGGATAGCCCCAACCTGCCCAGGAAGGTGCGGAGTCACGATCGCAGGCCAATCGCCGATCTACCGGCGATGTATCGCCTATTCCAGGTCGATGCATCCCCCTTTACGCCGTCCCCCCGTATCGTTGCCCCTCACCTCTTGACCGCTGGAGCTTTGGACCCGTCCGTCTTCCACCGCTCGGGCCAATCGATCTCTCGCGCCCTTCGAGCCATCGAAGCTTATGATATACCAACCTACTTTGACCTTGACCACCAGAGAGAATTTCGAGCACCAAGAAAGCACCGAGACTGGAGGGGTTTCATGTGTCGGGCCCTGGGAGGCGATACTCGTTCGATACCGTTTTTGTTATGTATGTTTCTCGAAATTGTTTCTCGGATGCGGTCCTTAAGTACGACGGGAACAACATCCCCTACCCTCCCCCCCTCCCCTCCTCCATCATGTAACTCGGCGGCGAGCGAGGGGGGGAGGTGAGAAGGAGGAGAAGGCCTTCTCAGAAGGCGTCGAGGGACCTGTTCGAAGCTCCCTCGCGCCTTCCGAGAAGTTACTTTTTGTTTGCCTTCGGGGAAGGCCCAGAAAAACAATTGTTTGGAAGGCTGGGGGACTTCCGAACCTTCCGCGGGCACGATGGGAGCAATATACAGTCGGGGCGCTGAGGAAGGAACCCTTCTCCTTGGGGAGGGGCTCCGTGTTCCTCCACTGTTTCACATTTTGCCCTAGATGTTCTTCAAATTTTCGATGGGGAATCAAAGTTTAATTTATGGAAAAAGGGGCCTCGTTCCACGGCGGCAGGAGCCGAGGAGGAGGAGGAGGAGGAGGAGGAGGACGAGGAGGAGGACCTGAGGAGGAGGAGGAGGAGGAGTGGGAGGAGGAGGAGGAGGAGGAGGAGGAGAGGAGGAGGAGGAGAGGAGGAGGAGGAGGGGAAAGGCCCAGAAAAAAAAACTTCTTGGAAGGCTGAGAGCAAGATGGGAGCAGCATACCTCGAGGCCTCGGTCCGTCGGGCCGTGGAGCTCCGGGTGTGGCCTCTCGCTGCCTCCGTCGAGCCTCCGCCGATCCCCCCGACCCTCGACTTCTCGATCGCCGGAGCCCTCCTCCTCGTCCCTCCTCCTCCCACGTCCTCCTCGTCCTCCTCCTCGTCCTCCTCCTCCCCCTCCTCCTCCTCCACCTCCTCCTCCTCCCTCCTCCTCCTCCTCCCTCCTCCTCCTCCTCCTCCATCCTCCTCCTCCTCCCCTCCCCCTCCTCCTCCTCCTCCTCCTCCCTCCTCCTCCTCCTCCTCCTCCTCCTCCTCCCCTCCTCCTCCTCCTCCTCCTCTTCCTCCTCCACCTCCTCTCCTCCTCCTCCTCCTCCTCCTCCTCCTCCTCCTCCTCCTCCTCCTCCTCCTCGAGCCCTCGATGTCCTGAGCCCTCGGGCGTTCGATCCCCTGAGCTATACCCTCCGATGCCTCTCGAAGCCTCGGCCCCTCGAGCACACGGGGCGCGCCAGGCGTGCCCTGCGATGCAGGGCGTGCGCAGTCCCGTATGCCCTCGCCGGGTAACGGATCCCCTCCTCCTCCTCCTCCTCCTCCTCTTCCTCCTCCTCCTCCTCCCCCCCTCCCCTCGTCCTCCTCCTCCCCTCCTCCCCTCCTCCCCTCCTCCTCCTCGTCCTCGTCCTCCGTCCTCCTCCTCCCCCTCACCCTCCTCCTCCTCCTCCTCCTCCTCCTCCTCCTGCTTCTCCTCCTCCTCCTCCTCCTCCTCCTCCTCCTCCTCCTCCTCCTCCTCCTCCTCTCCGGGTAACGGATCCCGGGGGCGGCAAAGATCGGGGGTGGACAGAACCCCCAACAGTGACACGTCGATTGGTGAATTGTCCGTTTTCGGTTCTCGAGAGGGCGCCGTGGCCGTTATTGTCCAGGATTGCAACCGCCAGGTTTGGGCCTCAGGTCGTGTTCACTAAACCACGTTTTGATAAAGGGGGGTCTGTCCATCCCCGAAAAGAGGGGGGTGATGACTAGGGGGGGGGATATCATGGCGTGGGCCATGATATTTCCCCAAATTTCATGGCGCCTCTTCTTATTTCATTACGTTCCTGGCCCCCCCGCTGGGCCGCTTCCGAGGATCCAGAGTGCTTTCTCCGGGTCAGGAGCGAAAGAGTCGACTACGCGTAAGAGTGAGCCTTCGCCAGAATCAGCCTTTGTGCGGGCCCACTGGGGTCCCCCGATCGCCGAGCACGACGCGACAGCAGCGTCTGGCGCGCTTGGGTTCGGCCCCCCGCGGTCCTCAAAAAGCTGCGCACCAGAGGCCACTCTTTACTTCGAGATTCTTGATATCAGGAGGGAAAAGAAACACACAGACACAATTGATCGTCGGTTCCCCCGAAACTATGGAAAAATATGGGAAGTGGGGGGGAAGACAAAAACCCAGAACTATGGGAAAGTATGGAGAATCTTGTTATTTGTGTATTTATATATATATATACAGATTTTTTATTTATATATATATATATATATGTGTGTGTGTGTGTGTCCTGGGGCCCCTTCATATTAAGCGTCGGGGGGGCGTCACCCCCCGCCGA